TATATATATATATATATATATATAATCCTAACAAAAATTGCTTGCCTTGTTTAACTTCTATTCGTTTCCTGTTTTTCCTTATCGTAAAATTGTAGAATTTATATTTTCCGAGCGCCTGAATTTCCAAACCTAAGATTTTGAGGGTTCTTTCAGATCAGATTTTGAGGGTTCTTTCAGATGAAATTTTCTTCAAATTTCATATCGATAGGCGACGAGAGCCATTCGGAATTAAAACTAAAAAAAATTTTTTTTTGTGAGTGATTTTTCTACAGTACCTGAAGGTTGTGTGATCCTTTAACCTGCATAAAAAATGTGGGGATGTTTTGGAGAGAGAGTAGGTTTGAGTGGTTACTTGATTGTTGGGGTAGCAGGAATAATTTCAAACAATCTGCATATCTCTGTTAATTTCTTTGTTAAGTGTTACACCCTGTTCGAGTTTAGGTTAGGTTAGGTTAGGTTGTGGAAATTGCGTGTTTGGTAGTTGTTAAGGCTAAGGGTACGCAATTGTTGTTGAAGGTTTCTTGATTTAGATTTTTTTAGCCATCCCTGCTGAAGGATGCATTTCAGCTGTTGTATGTGGGCAAGTTCGAATGTAAGGAGGTTGCTAAACTTTCGATTTCGTGATCAATGGAGGAGAGTACATGCGGTGTTATGAATTTTTTCGAAGTTTTTGGCAATACTTTTTCTTCGTCTATGTAGCAAAAAGTATTGTGATCAGTGTTTCTTAGTACTGGTATTCGGGTTTTTGTGCCTTCTGTGATTTTACACGTCTACCAAAGTGTGTAGTTCATTTTCTTTATGTTTGAAAGTGTGCCCTGCCATTTTTGATTTCTTGGTTCTATAATGTGTTTACGGATGAGAGTTGGAGAGCAGATTTCTATGTAATTTATTGTTTACTATGTGTTTACAGGGTTGCCAGTTTTTTGGAATTTTCTTCTATGCTTGTTTCTTTGTTTGATAAGATCTCGAAGGATTGAGCCATTGATTCTGATTTTAAGGTTTGTGAGTTACATCGCTGAAGGATTTTTGTATTTGTTGACTGTGGTCTGTAGTTGTCAAAATAGTTATTTGAATGGCTGTGTTGATGAGTTTTGGCATCTTGTGTTCTTTCGGGTTTTGAGCGAAAGAGCTATAGGTAAGTGATTTTTACGTTTATGGTGCTGCAGTTGGGGATGTTTGTTAGGATGATATCAATGTTGGAAGAAGTGTAGTTTGGTTTCCTGTGAGTGTAGCTGTGAACGATGTGATGATTGTGGAGTTCCGCATGATTCTTAAGGATCTATCATACAGACCCGTGTGGTAGAATGATAGCATTCAGGTCAGCAGAGATGATTTTGACTTGGAGAGGAGGGGGAATATGCTGCTCCAATAGTTAGTCTGGGGGCTGTTTTGGTCTTGATTGTTAATATTTCTATGTGTGGTGTGTCTTCTGTTGAAATGTCCTTGTATCCATTAGCACTCCGGTTTGTTTTTGATGGTTGGTGGTCCATCTTTTCTGTATATTTTGTAGCTTGGAATTTTAATGTTATTTTTTGGGTGAGCCAAGATTCGGTAATAATTGCGACATCTGTCTATTAAAAAATTTGTGAAGTTCATCTATCTTGTTCTTTACGTTCGTGGCATTCTATAAAATGATATTAATGGTGTTTCTATGGCTGGCCATTGTCGAATTCTTTCACTATTAAGATAGTACCTCTGGCTCTTTCGAGATTGTTGGTGCTGTTTTTGGATAAGCACTATGATTTTAAGGAATTTTGGTCCAGGTCTGCTGAATTGAGCTCGTTTATCTGGTCGGATAGATTTGTGTTGTTCTGTTGAAACTGTGGAGATGATTGAGATGATATCACTCTTGCATACGATATTTCTTGTTTTATTTTGTAATTTGTCTGAGGAAGGAGGGGAGATGTGAGGATTCTGCTGAAAGTGAGCTGAGAGAAATTTTGTGTTGGAAGCACTGTATAGTTGGTTTATATTCCCAGTATATTTTGAAGTTTTCCACGTATCTGATATGGTTAACTTGTATTAGGGTAGTTTCAGAGGCTACAGTGATACGGTATTTGGTGTGAGTGGGAATTTCGCTGCAATGTACGAGATTTAGACCTTGGGATTTAAGATTGTTGCAAATTTTGAGTTCGGGAAGACGCATTACCACTTTGAGAACTACTGTCAGAGTTTTTTCAGTGTCAATTGTACAGGTGTGATATTCTGTTTTCTTTTAAACAGATTGTTTCGAATTCGGAGAAATTCATTAATGTTAGCGAACATGATTTTGAGTTTACCGGAAATGTAT